ATGAATAAACTGCACTTGACTTTATATCAGTGAATAAAAAAAGAATAGTCAACAAATGATATATATATATATATATATACATATAATGAATTGTTTTATTATTTTCGAAAGCTTTTCAACTCAAATGACTTCCATTATAAGAATAAGTAAAGAGAATTTAGAATGATAAGATTTTATATCAATAAATAAATAACTATTCTAGAACTTTATCAAATCTATGTGTTTTTGTAAAGTCTAATCTTTTTTATATAAAGTATTCTTTTTTTTATTAAAATTCATATAAAGAGACAAGCAAAAAAAATATCATTATAAAGAAAATGTCACGCAAACCAATGTTATATCATTATTATAATTAATATTGAAGTTTTATTCATTTTTAATTAGTTTAATGGTATACGTTCATGAGTCGAAATGACATATTTTTTTCCCACGCCTGATTGAACATTAGTATTTCTCATTTTTCCAACCTTAACTGATTTTAATTCCTTATGTTTTTTTTCCATCTCTCTGCGATGCTTCAATGGAACAAAATATAACCAGAGGATGAGTGCAATATGAGTAATAACAAATATACCAAGACTAATAAAAAATGCCAATCGATCAATTTTTACAAGTGTCATACCTGGTTTAGCAACAAAACTAGGTTCATTTTCAAATAGAAGTGTACCAATAACAGCATGCCATATAACATGAATTACAAGATAAACTATGCCTAATATTCCATATTTATCAAGTGATGTTAAATATGAAATAGTTGGCTAAAAAAGAAAAAAAAATGATCTTCAGTTAAAATAATAAAATCAATAATTTTTATATTACAAGCGATCTATTAACCGTCCAACGGAACGTAATTGATGTCAACAAAAGTGTGCAACCTGATTGAATTCGATTTGCCATTTGACTTGAAAATAAAAAAATAAAAAGAAATAAATTTTATATCATGAATATAAATACTCACTGTATCGGAACACAAAAAATAGTAAATGAAATTAACATAATAAAGAAAATAAGACAATATCCATTCCAATAAAAATATTGTGATTGACGAGCTATTAAAAAAAGATGAAAGAAAAAGAATTTTATTTTGTTATTCGTTATATTTTTTTCTAAATACAAACCAACATGACAAGTAACTGTTACAATTGGACGTTTTCGATCTTCGTTAGTATTAGAGTCTTCATCATCATCACGTGCGGCTGAATGAAAATCAAATTCATCGACAAATCTTTGTATACTATTGACATAGGCATATAATTTCCATTCTTGCTGATCAACAAATGCTTCTAGATTAACGCCACTTGCATGTTGTGGATCAGGAACCAAAAGAACTCGATCATTATAAAACATTGAAGCAATAGATATTGATAATTCTTGAGTATCAGAAGGAAAATGATGTAATTCAAGTTTTTCCCAAAATAAACCTTTTATATCACGATGTTCACAAACATATATTTGATTATCTACTTTAGATTTTTTCGCCGTATATCTTATTTGTTCTTTTAAATCACCTAAAGCATTTTCAATATAAAGTTGTGGTACCCAATTTGTCTGAGGATATTTAGTAAGTGGTGAAACAGATTTTCCGCTAATTAAACGAGTTTGATCTTCAGAAGAAAGATCTGGTAAAATTTTATCAATGTCAACTGCCCAACGAGCTTCAATAGATGCTTGTGCTGTATACTTTTCATTTAATGTATCAATTTCACCTAAGAATATTAATGATAATAGAAAAAAAAGGCAATTGTTAGTTTGTATTAATTACCTATTCGTAAAAACATTAACCGAACATAAACTGTGTGTAGCTTATTCGATGAACGTGACATATCTTCTGATATATTCAGCACTGAAAAAATTTTTAAATATATTTTCTATTTTACAAGTGAAGTTATATACAAACTTTCCAATGGGGCGTCAGTCAATCGTGACATTTTATACAAGTAAAACTAATCTAAAAAAAATATTTGATAATCGTTAGCGACTATCCTTTTAGTAAAAACACTTTCATCAATATCTTCACAAACCAAGAAACGCTTCAATAATTTTTGCACGTTAACAGCGAATAAAGAATAAAAATATTGTGCAGATTTCAGTATTTTTTATGTATAGGAAAATCATGTTATTCGTATGTTTTATTTCATTACTAGTTTATTATAAAGTCGTTTTAAGGAGAAATAAAAAATATAAACCTAGTATCATAACTATGAATCAGTCGTTATAAATTGGTAAATATATAACAAGCAATTATGAGAAGCAGGCAGATTAATGTGGTTCACGTGTTGTATCAAAACATGTAAATAAAAGTCAGGGGTGGCGCGACCGGGAGGACGTCGGGGGTGTGACACCCCCTCCCCCCCCCCTCCAATCTTTGAAAATTTCTATTTTTTGCTCAACAAAATCGGCAAATCTTCTTAGATTTTTTAGCAAAGATAGTGTTACACCCCCCTAAAAATTGAAAAAAATTTCGCTACATCCCCAAAAATTCAAAAAAACTTCATTACACTCCCCCAATGTTGGCTGACTCGCGCCACCCCTGATAATAGTTAAATAGAAGGGGATGATTGTAATATTAATGTTTTGTTTTGTAAAAGCTGTACTATCAAGGTTGACCAGAAAATCTATATATATAAAGAAGAAAGTGTGTCTGTCTGTTCGCTATGCATTCAGTCACTGTGATAGCTACGACCACCACACTTTCCACAATGCTTCCTTAGGTCCCAAGGAAGGTCGACATGGGGTTGGTTTGATCATCGGGGGGAGGGATTGGGTGAAATTTCACCTAGGTAGTTCTGTGATAGCGAACGTCATCAAACTTTCCATAACACTCCCTAAGTTCACTCGAGGATTGGAGACACTAACCGGCATTGAGGATATGGACTCTACTAGAAGATTTTTGCAGCGAGAACTATACGAAAAAATAGATTTTGCAGCGGGAGTAGTACGGAAAGGTTTTGCAGTGGGAATAGTACGAAAAGAAATTTGCAGCGGGAACTGTAAGAAAAAAAAAGATTTTGTAGCGGGGACTATAAAAAGAAGAACGGACTTTGCAGCGGGTACTGCCGCTAGTATATATATATACACACAATAAACAAAATGTTTTTATCTTTGATAAAATATCTATTGGCAATAAAAAATACTGTATTGTGAATACATAAAATCAAATATATATAATGATTGATTCACGCTTATACTATTATTTACCTTGCATATGAATAATATAACCTATTCGGATGCTTCGGACTTTTTCTAACAAAATTGATAACAATATAATATAATATAGAATTGCTGTTATTACCGTCGATGACTCCTGGAAGAGTCTAAATTTTTAGTTTAATTTTAAATTTTATATCTGATTTCGTTACGAACAATTAGTTTCAGTACGTTTAAAATAAATAAAACATTGTTTCATCTGTTTGTGTACTCAAAAAGTGAGTACACTACTAGGATCGGTCTGTGTGTCTGGCCGTCCGGCCGTTTCCACGATAATTTCGGAACGGTTAGGTCGCTTGTCATGAAATTCTGTACACATTTTAAGTGAATAAAAAATGGTGATTCCTCGGGAAGGAGGAGTCTTCAGCCGAAATCCTTTTAAGATTTATACATACTTGAGATCCCATACCAAATGATATAAGAACGAACGAACAAACGAAATCGGAGTGGAGCACCTTGGAAGGTTTCCTCGCTAGAGATATATCCACTTTTACTATCATAGTTTGGTGGATATATTTTGAAAATTTCGTACTAATACAGATGGGTTGACTAAGCATCTATCTTTACGGCCTAATAACATAGCTTATGAAAGATTTGTGCAATAACGTCATAGTTGAGAAAAAATCGACGTAATTTAATGCTTTAGAAACGAAACTCTTTCTTACCTTTCAGCAGCAATTATAATACATTACTGCAGTTGCGCACTGTATTTATACTCCTTCTTTATAAAAATGAACGACAAGCATATGGCTTCTCGCTTCGTCTCTCTCTTCAGAAGCTTTTGTTTACATATTATTTTATTATTTCACAATGGTAAAAAAACCAGCCATTTTGGATGATAGAAAAAGCTGTAGCTTTTGTAATTGCCATAAAAATATTTGGAGGATGTGGACGAAGATAGGGGTAGCTCAGTTGAGGGTGTGGGTGTGGATGTATGACATTCAATGAGTGCACTAAGTCATACCCACACCCACACCCACACCCTCAAATCGGATGAAATGAGAATTGTAATTACGTCGAATAAATAAAATAACTCACAGATTCGCTTTTACATATGTGTCAAGGTTGAAATATGTACTATTCGATAGATCTCACTCTTCTCTACCGACACAAATATGAATGGGTGTCATTGGGATCAATACTTCAATAATAGCGACTCAAAATGTAAGTAAATGATGAATATATTCGTATGTGTGACTTATAAGTTGAGTAGGTAATACTGCAATGTGTATGAGAAATTTTGAAAGACTTTTCAGTCTATTTTATCGACTCAAAAATATTAAATTATACATCGTTCGATACAGTTTTTTCTTTTGAGTCAAATGAAATTAGTTTCAAATGTGACACACATTGTAGAGTGAATATATATGAAATATATCCTGAGAAGAAGATTTTTGGCGTTTTTGATGCAAATGTATTGAAACTACTAGGTAAAAGGTACAAATGAGCATATCAAACGATAGAGCAAGTCGAGATGCATAGGAATATATGTTTGTTTGTAAATTTTTGAGTGAGAGATTGAATAATTTTAAGAAATACAGTTTTGGAGAAACTAGTCCTATGGAGAAAAAAACAGTTTTTGATAATTATAAAAATTTGTATGAAGTTAATACAAAATCCAATTCTTGTTTCTGATAGAGTTCATCGAGTTCTATCTCTGGCACACAGCACACGACAGGTAGCACAACTTGCCAGGCGAATAATATTTAGAAAAAATCGAATTCCCTGCTAACTTCATCTACATAAAATGGATGTAAGCGAAAGTTTGAAGCGTAAGAAATGCATGGGGACCAGAGGAAAACGAAAGAAGTTTTTTTTTCTTCTCTTCGACATTCTTCATACGACAATGTTATTATTAGCTCAATATGCATTTATGTTCTGTCAACCAAATCTTTTTTTCTATAAGAGCGAAAAAGCATATTTGAGTAAATAATTTTCTTCAAGTTTCTTTCTTTCTCTTGTATGTGTGTTTTTTCTCACTCTGTGTGGATGCATTTGTTAATGTTTCATTCTACAGATAACAAATTCAGTTTTGAGGATTGAAGTAGTTTGCTTATTTTATATATAGAATCAGCGGCAAAGAGTATAAAATAATGAAAAGACTTTTAGACGATTTTTTAATATATATGGGCTCGGCCAGCCATCGGTCCCCTTCGTTGGGGAAGGTTCGAATTCAAGATTGAAGGAAAATGAGCATATTATGGGATAGAGTACATTTAATAGTGTAAAAAAAAAGTGTCGTTAGCTACGAAATACATGCTCCCTAAATGACAGTGGCACTGTTCTTTTCTCCAATGAACGTATCATATAACGACATTTCAATATCATCATAAGTTAACGGCTAAAAAGTGTTCATTGTAAAGCTGAATTGGATCAAATTTCACATCGATAGATAGAAGAAGATACGTTCTTTCAGAATAGAATCTTTCTAAAAGGATCCACTTGTTCCATAGATCTATCAATTTTAAAAAAAAACGACTGAGTTTTTCATGAAATTCCGTAACGCAAAGTAATTGTAATATGTTTCCTGGTTGCAGGCTACAAATTTATTTTTTAACAATTATATCACTGGATAAGTCTTTTCGAGATCTGCCAAATGGACTACCTTTTGATTGATCATCGGCTCTAATTTCATATATTTATATCCAAAATACTTCGTAACGGAATTTCATATAATATAGTTAATATTCTATGTTTATTTTAAAATTTTACATGGTTTTTTTCATTGCATATACAAAATTGTATTTGTATTATTCTCATACGTGTACTGTACAATGAATTTATGGTATATTCGTTATTTTTGCGTACTCAAAAAGTGAGTACACTATTAGAATCGGTCAGTGTTCCCGTCCGTTCGTCTATCCAGTAACTTTCGAAAGAAGAGTGAGATGGAGGGTGAAGTTTTATATATAGTTTAGTCTCATTAATATCTCGGTCGAGTTCGAAGATGAGAACGATTCTTCAACTGATGACTGAGTTATTGAAAAAATAGTCTTTCTCGGCTAGATCATCCCTGATGGGGAACGAAGTACAGGGATCTTTTTGAAAAAAAAATTTTTTTCTGAAAACTATGTAAAATATATATAGGTCGACTTAGTTTTTAACGCTGATTCCGAATTCAATATAAGTTTCAACCAAATCGTACTTTTCTAACCAAACATCGTATCAAAAGGTCTTAAAATATGCAAAAATTGCATCCAGAAACCATATTGCCTATATATGTTACGAATAACCAGTCGTTTTGGGTTTTCAAACTTCTGGTGTTCTAGTTAGTCAAAAAGGACTATCGAACGGTAAAAATCCGAACTAAATAGGAATGAACATTAGTGATTTACTATAAATAAAACTGATCCATATATCTACCATATTCTCTTTCTCGTAGAGAAGAGTCCAGTAAACATAAATTGTTTGTTTGATTGATTGATTGCTTGTGTGTCCACAGGGTCAAAAAAACATCGAAAATCAATTTTTCAAACAAGACATTTCTCGAGGTATTTCGATACGGGGAGTTCGAATCTGAGGCCAGTTGGGTGGCCATAGTAAGGGGGTAGGTGGGTGTGGGTGAAAGGTAAAAAAAACATCGAAAATCGATTTTCTGGAAAAAAAGTTTCTAAAAGTTTTTCGATGCGTGGACTTCGAATCTGAGGTCAGTTTTTTAAAAGCTTTTTGCGGATCATTTTTTATTAAAAAACAGATTTCTCACAAGGAAAAAATGATTTTA